GAGTCAGGTTAAATCAATTTCTGTACATAAATTCGTCAAGATCAGCATTCCGCTCACTAGGTAGCTTCGTTTTGGGCTGCTATAGTTTAGAGTCACCGGTAAATTGTATAGTTTTGCCGTGTTATTTATGTATGACATACCCGGACAACTTAATGCTCACAACTATACCGTCGTAGACGCATAGTAACACAATCCCTGCATCTAATGCTGATCATCTCCCTAATTCTCCTGTTTTGCCATCTTCTTTTCGTGTACTATTTTGAAGTGTGAAATCTGAAGTTGACTCGCTTCCGGGGAAGTCCCCGTGTTAATATTTTCGTTTGTCTACCTAAATGACAGCTGTTATCACCCATAACACCGACAACACAAAATTCCACCGAAACCCGTAGTCATTTTTTGAGATCATTTCTTCCATTTGAAGGTTAATTGATGTATATTTTTCTAAGTGAGTAATTTTAATGACGATATCATTATATGAAGGAAATCCAATTTAATACAACAGAATTCGGTGCATACAACAGCCCCATCAAATTTATTTATGATGCCAGTCGAATTATTATCTCTAACACGTTATTTAATATTTGAAGCCCAGTTGACGAGTCTGCACGTGATGTTTCCTCTTAGATCTTGTGTCACTCAGAGTAGAGCTTTAGACATGAAATGTGGAGTGACCTTCATCGCTGTCTCACATTAAGTCCTCACAGTTGATACCATATTGTGTGAATATATGTGTCATTTGGAACATGCGAAACCCCTATAATTGATTGAAGTCATGTATTTTGAGTTATTATTTGGTTGAGCGAAGAAATATTTACTTTTCAATTAGATCCTCATCTCTGGCTCTACCCTAATATATATAGCATTTTTATTGCAATACACAACAGTTTACGAATCAACTGGTGATATGTTTGTTAACAATAATTAGTCAGTGTCAAAATGGTTGATGTTAATAAAGCATTTAAAATTATCTATCGCATTTCTACTAATCTTAATTTTGCTCTACGAGTTTTATTTTATTTATTTTGGTTACAGCTTGATGCCACACTGTATTTTCAGTACAAGCATGGAATTTTCAGCATGGATCTCGGCAGCCCAAATTTCGCAGGCCGACCATAGATATCGGGTGTGCATCGGCAGGGGATCGAACCCCGGACCATGTGCATGGTCGGCGAGAGTCCTAACCACTGTGCCACCGACGCACAGACAGCTGAAGCAATAGGAATCCACCTGAAGAAGCCAAATCTGTGTGTTCAGGAAAAATTTGTACAGCCACTTTCCGTGCCTTGGCCATCATTACATGACTGTATAAACCGGACTATTTCACCCCCTCCCCCTAAACCTTTAAAACTATAAAAATTATAATTGTTTTATTTTTCTAACCATTTCATCTTTAATTACGTGTTATCCTTGTAAAATTAATTTATTCTAACCATTTCTACCTTTTAAATGTGTATTGGTTTTCTTCGTTTATTATCAACCCATTGACTTTTGAAACTGACTAATTATTGTTAACAAACATATAGCCACTTGTTTGGTAAATTGTTGTGTATTGCAATAAAAGTGCTATATATATTAGAGTAGAGCCAGAGATGAGGATCTAATTGAAAAGTAAATATTTCTTCGCTCAATCTTTCTGTTTTCTAAATGTCTAAATGGGGACTTTTTCTATGTTATTTGATTAACATTTTGAATTCATTCACATGCACCCAGACGTGAACACAAGACTGATGAACGTTAGACCATCATTGCCCTTATAGGGGTAATGAAAATGGCAATTTTTGGTGAAATCAAATTCGCAATTTCCAAATTAGTTAGGAATTTGATCAATTCGAGGAGGGGAATTTTCACCACAGTTTTGTTTGGAAAGTAAAATTATTCAGATCACAGTATGCAGTCTACTTGATACGATAAATGATAATGAAGAAATCAAGCTTAAATTTATAAAAATAAATACCACTGTTAGTTTGAGTTGAGTGGCTGTATATCACTTACATGAAGCAGTAGTGGTTTGAACTGATTCGGCTCTCTCGGTTGAATCAAATTGGGCACATCGCTAATGAGCTGGTCTCTAAATGAGCGGTGGTTAAACCACTTCAATCTGACTAGCAAGCACTACTGGTTGGTGTGAGTGATACGCAACTTTTCTCATCTCATCCAGTCAGTAGTATACAGTTTAAGCATTTGGTGAATACAATCTTGGAACTAATTAGATAACATGGTACCATCTTCATTGACAAAAGGACCTTCATTTCAAGGTATTAATAAAGCTAGTTTCCACAACGAACCTATAACATTTGAAAATTACTGACTGGCATACAGCAGTACCTTTTCTCAATTTATATGCTGTAATTTAGTCCACTTATAAGTGAGTAACTGACCGGGCATTTTAACTATCTACGTTTTCACAGGATTACACCTTTGTGAACTGATGACTAGGGAAAAGAATGAAAAGAATTAAATTATAAATGTATAGCATTAAAGTGATGGTAAAATCCAAACCTATCGAAATTTGGTTTTGTTTATATATTATTACCTTCATGTGTATGTTTTTATATAGGCAACTAAGAAACTACAAAATCGTCAGTTTATTTGATTAAGTTTTCGCTAAGAAAGAATTTTATCGAAGATTCAGCTACTCTGAGTCGCATATCTAAACTTAGTGCTGAATATTGAGTAGTTGATACCATTTTCTATCTGGATAAACAGGAACGCGATCTAGTATCCAATGTTGCTGAACGTTCTAAGAGTTTTACAATGACACGCAGCATTTCAATGAACAGTAGGTAATTTATACAAAATCTGAAACACTTCTGAGAACTTAGTAGTCTTTCAAACGCTTAACGAACGGACAGACATATTAAGAAATAAGATAACTAGATTTAATTTAGTGAACGTTTATGGTTTTGATGTTGAAATGGATTGGTTTTCTTTGTACTGTGTCACATAGCAAATACAATTACTGATTCTTAATATAATTACATTGCCGTGACCAGGAGGGTACAGCAGGTTGAAGATGAGGCAGTAACTCATCGAGGAAGACATTGCGAAATGGTCACGCTATGTTGTGAATTGGCAGAAGTTAGAATTCATGGCTGGCCATTGGATCGGGTCCCAGTGGTTCAATGGTCTACGAGCTCGCCTTGTAACCAGAAAGTCCTGGGTTCGAACCCCAGTGGGTGCGTACTGATGAAGAGTCCCAAACTAGGACGAAACAGTTGTCCAGTACTCCCAGGTTTTCCAGTGGTTCTCTAACTGACGTCAGCTCGTGATGAAATCCTCCATCCAATAATTACATTGCTCAAAGAAGTGGTGAAACTTAGTTAACTGATAGGATTTGTCTTCTCGCAGTCTAACTCCAAATCAGTCAGCATTATTCATTGAAGAGGACAGAAAACAAACATAGGTGACTCTAAGCTTCAGTTTGAAATCCCAGATAGCCGTACTATACTCTGGAATAATGTGATACGTATACATCATCAAGTTCTTCCCTACCTTAAACTTTGTTCCCCGAATAGCAATTTCCAGAGAATATAAAATATTGTGTTCAAATCCACACTTAAATATCTATCGTCTAGTGATCAATGACCCACAAAAAATATATATCAAAGTACAGGAGCCCCAGAAGAAACGGAATTCAAAGTCACACAGTGAAGATGGTATTGCAGTCGAATCCAATCAACCAAGTAATGTTTTATTTCCAGATAATCAGTATATCTTTTCGAAATTCGGACAAGTTTGATTCATTTCAGTAATCTGCCCATGAGTTGACTAATGGCGTTAGTGCTCAGTACACTAACACTGTGTCCTCGTCTAGCGTTTTATTTTTATGGCCCTATTGTAAAAGCATTACTAAACCAAAACAAAATTGACAATAAGTTAATTGGTGGATGGTGACTAGCAGTGGAATCCAGGATGCGCACTTCGTCCCACTTGGGACTCGTCACTGGACGTACCTGCATTCCGCTGTGAGTGATGATGTTCCCACCGAGGCTCGAATCCAGTGCCCATTGTTTCAAACGCCAAAGCGTTATCCAGTAGACCAGTTGGGCCACGAGAGCCACCTCTTGTGCAAAGGGTTATGTTAATTATTTATTCAATTTAGATTTTCCCGTCGATTGACTGGACCGAAGTGCTCGGTCTCAGGTTGATATGTCGGCTTCTTGTGCAGATGCTTCGACGATATCTGGGCATGTAATTAGGAGTTAATTGGTAGATGGTGACTAGCAGTCACATACCCAGACATCGTCGAAGCATTTGCCCAAGAAGCCGACATATCAACCTAAGATCGAGCACTTCGGTCCAGTCAATCGACGGGAAAATCTAAATTGAATTAAATAAAGTCGACAGTACTTTATTAAAACGTGACTGATCAAACCAAAAAGTTTCCAAGACTCAGCATTTGCCACCAAAGCAGATGTATGATGAATTAGAACTGCATTTTGGTTGCTCACATACGATGGTAAGTTTTTTGTGTGAGCAATCATTTAAATAAAATTATAGTCAAATTATTCATTCCACAATGTACACATTATTTTTTGAATTAAGCAGTTAGGACTATCTTTTCAAAAATTTCCAAAACACAATAAGTATAGAAGATTTGCTAAAACCTGATCAGCTTTCTAAATGTATTCACTCTCCATTGAAGTAGACACTAAATTTTCCGTTTGGCCATGATAGCTACTGCTTCGAAATAAAACAGACCAATAAAATCTACCTTGGCAGTGGGTGTGAATACGTGATAAATGTTTAAGTTTCAACAAAGGCAACGGAAAAAAATAAACCAATTACAGTAGGCTAGTGGGTGACTAATATTTATTTGTGAGCTGGGCTGATGTCTGATTGGTTAGTTGTAGTTGTCTGTATAGAAGTGAATTTACGGTCAGACTACACGTTTACGACTTTGCAGTTCTGTCTACTATTCAAATGTCTGTGTGATTCATGCTGTTTTCTTTCCAACTATTCTAATACTTGGACTTACTGCATGAAGCTGGCAGGTAAAGTGTTGTAGTTGTTTTGATCGTTCGTATTGGGTATAATTTATTTGGAATTACGTGATACCTTTAGTATATTTTTTGTATTAATTTAGCTTGACAGATATCTGCAAATCAGTATTTCGTCAAAGACTGATTTGCTTGAGTATTAGGATTTGGATTCAGGATTATAGAGTCGTTTATATAGTTGAATTTAGTATACTACTGTATAAGATTATTGGGTATTTGCGTATAGTAGTGATATCTATTAGCAATTTCACTTGCTTAAAGCATTCACAGTATCCTCGCGAAATGGTTCCAGCGAATACATATGTCACTTATGAAAAAAATTAGTTGGACAGGTTATGTTAATGTTTTTAAAAATCCAATACCTCTCACATCTTTGACTACAGTGCCGACCCTTCCATAAATAGATTAACGACTGGGACATAACAGTATTTTGGTATGTGAGGAAGGATACTAAGGTGAAGATAAACGGAATCTGCAAAGTGACTGCGGTTGCATACACTTGAGCCACTGTGTATTGTTTTAAGTTATGCCAAAAAGAGTTTTTAGCCGCTGAATCTTAGCATCTGAGCTTATTAACCGAAACCTCTATCAAATCGTGAATTATTAATTTCGTGAGACGATGTCATATTTTGGTAGGACCATTCATTAATCATCCAGCGTAGTCCTATATCAGCTGATATGCTCACAGAGGAAGATGGCGACTGATCACGTGTAACACGACTTAGGCATCACAGTCGATGGAATCTTGCAGCTTCATCTACTGATTTATTCTTATTTAATACTATTCCTAACCTAACCATGTTGCCTTGTCTAACACCAGCGGTTGACGACAAAGAATTTAGTATTTGTTAGCCATTGGGTATGTTTTTAAGGCTATGTTCAGTGCTCCCATGTCTAAAGACAACATAAGTTCCACGGGTTTCATTTTCTTCACTAACTCGAGCAATGCCTATAAGTGAGGACAGTGTAGTGATATTAATTCGGTTTCACATATCCTAATTATTCTCTTAGCTTAATCAGTATATTTCAACTGTTATTTGGAAAAACTGATTCCGGTGAACCTTTCGGGTTTACTAATTTGTTTTGTCTTGAGTCATTGGCTGTTGGTTAATTAATACTCTAGTTAAACATGGATAACATGTAGATCTAGTGAAAATAGCTCGGTTAAATTGTCTCAGTACTTGCTCATTTTTAGATTCTTTGGTTTTAAAGCAGTGATAAGTTTGTTCTAGTAGAACTGTGACTCATTATTTTGGCTAAATTTTAAGTCTATATTTTGTAATTTCCTGGGAACAAATGAAGATCAATATGGTTATATTGAAAAACAATTTCTGTTGAGCGTTTTGGTTATGTAAAGTCTCATTTTAATTTGAGCTTATGGTTTGGTGGACCTTTGTATTTGTACAGCTGCTACTAACATGCTCATTAAAAATATGGAGCCTTCATTTTTCCACATTAAGTTAACCATCCGACACCTAACTGAAGCTCAGAAACAAAGAATGTGAGAAGGCAAGGCAGATCAGATTAACCAAACCCTGAGATACCAACAATTTTTTATCACCTCGTGCTACTTGTTCTACCTACGAGATACCTGACTACTTATTAAAAAGGAAATGTTCTGTAGCTCAATGTAATATCCTACTACCTAACTGCGTATCATGTCCATACTGTTTTTGAGTTCAGATGCAAACATGTCCAGTGTTTAGATTGCCTCGCTCAAGCTGACGCGGTTGTAAACAGTAGTCATCACTCATGAGTAATGAAACAAAATTTGTGTGTAGATGTAAGGCTCCAACTTTCCAAGCTCGGATACGGCTGATGAAAGTGAAGGACTTGATGACGGTAGCCGTCTGTGACTACATCTGTCCTGGACCTAATTCGTGTTAAGTTTTACAGTGTAGTCGGTAATGAGGTTTGCTTTAATCTCCTAATTATTATTCCTCTTATGCATTTTCGTCTATTACATACTTTTTGTTTTCTCTCCATCCATGCTTACTTGTATGAAGTGTGAAAAATTACATTTTTGAAAGTCGTACTTTGGAAATTCATTCAGGAGCTCAAACGAACTCAAATAATATTTTATTGATTAAGGTGGATGAAATTTGGGTAAACTTCGACCACCCGAACGTTCATTGAAAGGTGTATTAAGATCGGGTTGAAAACATTTAAGGTATCTCACAAATTCATTCAATTACTGACGTCTAAACACATTCATGTCGAAATTTGTGGACATTCTGTATGCAGTTGACGATAAAACCAAAACCGATAACTGGGAAGTTAGTAATGTAGCTCATGATGAATTTTGTGATGAAAATGCTGTCATACTTTGTCCTCTAAAATTAGATTTTAACGTCAGATTGTCCGGCTGACAAACTGTTATTCCATGTAATGGGTGGCTTATTTATTATTCCTTTGGGTTCCGAGTGGAACATAGGGCTTCAACAACACATTTCCACTTTGGTGCTGTCTACTTCAGCTGGGTCCACGATTGCCCACAATCTCTCATATCCTCCTCTCTCGATCTCCTCCATGTCACCCTTGGACGACCCAATGTAATGGGTGATAATTGAAGGTAAGGTGAAAACCTGGGTCACAACAGGACTGAAGCCAGTCGAGTGGTGACCTGATTAGCAGTTGGGTCTCATTCCTCAGCTTGCAGGTCACCGGACTGGCAATTCGCAGACCACTGGTTCGAATGCTGTGGCGACTCGGATTTTCATTTCAACTTTGCTCACCACACGTTTGTTTATTTGTCGGTTTCCCTTCTTTTGTCTCATTGTGTACTAGTGTTTGTGGTAACATTTCCATTTATTTCTCCCCTCAATATATTTCGATACTATGTGTTACAGTTGAGCCGTTATAGGTTGTGTGCTTAAGTGTTTGTTTGTCTCACTTTATTCATGTCTGAATTTATACTTAAAATTTTGATCTTTTGAAGTCGTCATTTTTTGCTACATCGTGTTACCATGTAACGTTTCGCGTTAGTGTTATGTTCCGTGCCTTCCACCTATGCAAGCATCATAAAGTTTTGTTGCAGGCACTTGCCTATGACATGAGTCATTAAGTTGTTGACGTTACCTCAATGCGTTTTCTCTAAGTGATACATAGGATAGCTACCTGTAAACGACCAGTTCACGGTATGTCACTATCGCATAAAGGATAGTATGGTATTTAATGGTCCCGTCCTTCAGGTAACGAAGTACACAGTAGTGCCAAATTATATGGTGATGCTGTTGGTTCGATGCGTTCTCTTGCCACTCATAATCCTATCTCTATCTTTAGTTTATGCTTTTTGTAAATGCTTATACAGATAGTGAGGAAATTGTCATTCTTCATTCATTTGTTCATTTGATCCTGTTGTAGTACTTACCTTACTTTTTATAGTTTTTTAGGACTTGAAAGGTATTTTTATGAAAGCCGTGAACATCTGCTCAATTCTCCGACTACATTTGCGCAGTCGATAAGTGATTAATTCTCTTAGGCTTTCTTAAGTGGGAAAAATCGAAAATGCGTTATACTTATTTGTTATCTATGTAATAATTACAGAAATTTGTGAATTAAAAAACTGAATGTTGAACTGAACGACTTAATTCAATCTAGTGACATCTGTGGTCCACCGTTTATCATACATGAACACTCAACCGAAGATGTTGATGAACCATGAAAAATATGTGAAAATGATTGTATATATTAGCATAATAGTTTTGGTATACCTTCAATACGAAATAATATACAATCGTATGCTATGCATATTTTTTAACAATCTTTTTACAGCATTCCACTTTGTGACCCATTTCTTAGTGCCTCCGTCTTTGCTCACCGGTCACCCAGTAATCTAGTTAGTGAATTACGAAGTAGATGTAACCCATGACGTAGATCATAGATCAGTTTGAAGCCTGTAATGTGATGTAAATTTGTAGATGAATACTGGTTAGCATCAGTAAAATGAACATGCATATAACTAACATGTGTTGTATAAAAACAAATATTATGTAGTCCTTGTTTAAATGATCTTATTTCATATTGTATTGTCTTCATCTAGGACCACAAAACTGGTGAATCCCATTATTTGGCTTATTTCATGGCAAAAAGAATGTCGATTTCCTAAGTCCACATATCAGATGAGCCAGTGTCCTGCAGAAAATTTAAATCTTATTTGCCAAAGTCCTTCATCTTACACTAGCTCCGGTACTGAGATTCAACCGTCTACTTCACCATGCCAGTCGACAGGATCTCGCAATGCTCTACCCGGGGTTGGCTCCATTTTAGATAAAGCTAACGATTTATCAAACTATTCTCCCATTAAACAGTATAGTAAAAAATCTAATCCCATCTCTGAAAACACTTGTATTAACAATGAATTTTACAGCAACAGTCTTTCGTATCCTTTGAAATCTGAAGAAAGCACTAAGGATATGTCTAGTGATTTTACTGATTCAACTACACACATCCAGTCATATTCTGCCTCTTCTCTGGAACCTATTGATTCCCTAAATTTTAACATGCCTGTCCAGCCCAGTGAATCTGTAGTAAATGATTTCACTCATTCACTTCCTATGGATCATACAGATTTAGAGGATGGTGGATTAGATTTAGATCGAGTGTTTGTTGCCATTGTTGGCGATCAAAATCCTGAACATAATTTCGATAACGATGACACTGAGAACTGTTCCCTTGATAAATCGAGCTTTTATGATAAACAATTACCTAACGATACACAATTATCTGTGAGTCCGAGTATATCCAATAATGATTTGGGAGGTAAAAAATTGTTACATTATTATTCCGTGATGGATGCTGAGGAAACGAAGTATCCAATTCATTCGAGTAAGTCATTCATTTGTGTGTTATTAATTCATTTTAAAATTTCTCTTTTTTTGTTGAATCGTGATCGTGTCACCTTTACTACACTCTGAGGCATTCTGGGTGATTACAAGTTTACGGCTTTACAATAGTTTAGAAGTTCACGATATGCTGAAAAGTTGAGACGTGCACTTTCGAAGAGGTTTATTCTTGTTGATTGGCATCGAACTGGTTCCATACAACTTTGCCGATCTGGAAATGTAACTGTTGTAAATGGTATGCCAATGAATTATATACTACATTTAAACTCAAGCAGCCGTGCAAAGAATCTTAACCCACACTATTACTAATTAACAGTATTGCCTATCTACTTTTGGAGACGACTTCATTTACCTCTCAAAAAGGATCTAGTTGTCTTAGAGTACATAAACTAAATAAGCCTCCTAGGACATGTATAAAAGGTTTCATAAGAGTTTGCAAGTATTTCTCGTATAACACACGGTGATGGCGTTCACCTCAAAGTGTATATATTACCTTTTAATCTTGAGATGTGTGGGATTATCTTATGGTAGAATATACACAACCATTTTTGTGTCCGTACTTAATATTGAGTGCATCATTGTCTTGCCAACTTTACTTTTACTAAACATCAAATAATTTTTTAAAGATACACTAAGTAGTACATGAAGCGAAACGAAAATTCCATTTTTTTAGATCTTACTAATAAACTGATTCAATAGGTATCTTAAGCCCTCTATCTATATGAACTCGAAAGCCAGTAGGTTTTCACGTTATAACGAAAAAGGAGTGGCAATGTAGTTCATTGGTTTCGACAGTTAACTTCCAATCAGTGGATCCAGATTTCGAATCCGTCTCCACCTGCTTCAGCCTGAGCCTACACTCTATGTGTGACTTAGGACCGGTACATAGAAAATGTGTTCCAGCTAATTCAGTTCTGATAAATGAAAGGGACTTCCTTGTCAGGTAAAGTACCGCGCAGCAACTGAAGAAACAATTTATGGTGATAGGTGTCCATAACTTATGCATAAATTCTCTGGTTTAAGGTTTGATTTTCCTCCTGATTTCTGTTGTCAACATGTAAAAGTGACCAAAGGGTCAATTTCCAGTTGTGATATTTTGATGTGATGTCTCTATACCCCTGTTTACTTTTTTTTCTCTTGAAACTCAGATCCATCCAATCTTCTAAACGAGTGTAACATTTCTCATAAAGACTCGGTCCTTGATGATAATCCTGTTTATATGTGTGGTAATGCACAGCTTCTCACTGTCAAGCATTGTGAGTCACTAAAGACGTTAACTGGATTTTTACCGGAACATTTTAATGTATCTCATCCTGCTAATCAGTCTGAACATGTCCTACCTCCAATTATGTTGAGTTACGGCAATTCTACTAGTTGCAATACTCCTAATCACTCGTCACTGGTTCCTATTTCTTCACCCACACAATTGTCTCACAATCCAGTAAACTCGTCTTATCCTGACTTATGCTTCGTTTCTGAATCATCATGCTCCAAAAATTTTCCACACACACACGACGTCCACAAAACCAGACCTTGCAATACAGAATTAGCTCCGCTCTGCACCACGTCAAGAGAAACCACACCCAAACCAGGATTTTCAATTCCGGGGGTCATTATCAATCCACAAATCTCAACACCTAGTTGTCATAACACTTATCCCTTCCAATCTTTAGTCTACACCTCTGAGAAGAAAAAGAATGCCTATACACCTAATTCTGACAGCTCTTCAGTTACGGATATGTCGTTTCGTTCACCTGCAAAAGCAAGTTCACCACCTTCAGGTTACTTAGAGATCTCATGTTCAGACGATGACACCACCACACTGGAAAATCTTGAACATGATCAAAGCAGCGATTGTATTCTAGAAACATCTCTGGTTACAGAGGATCAAACGTCTAAATCATCAGTATCCTCTGACGTTGTGATGCGGTTATGTGTAGTTTGTGGTGACAAATCTTCAGGATTTCACTATGGAGTTACAACATGTGAAGGCTGCAAGGTATTTTTACAGTAATCTTTTTTTAAAGATTTGTATGCTTTTCTTCGTTGTATTCACTCTGTAACGTTCGGTATCATGTACAAAAGTTATATTAAGTTTATGCACACCTAGATTATCCATAACACCATTTATTTCAAATAAAGGGATTGCTCCTTGATATGAGGTTATTCTCAGTTCAAGTTGGCTAGACTAGTTTAGATTATTTACGTAGATGAGTTTTTATCGGCTCCGTTTAAGCGTAACAGTGTGAGTTGAATGTAAAATCTAAGCAAAACTAATAAGCCTTAAGGAAACACATCTCTTGGTCAGTGTTATTTGTCAACCTTTAACCTTCTAATCTCCAACGACTATCGACCAAGGGGCGGGTGTACTACTCAGTAGTTCGATCCGTCCTCCTTTATGGCTGTGAGACTTGGCCATTGAAAGTAGAAGAAATGAAAAGACTAGCTGTCTTTGATCACAGGTGCCTGCGTTCTATCTCCCATGTTAAGTGGTATAATAGGGTGAGCAATATCGAGGTTAGGCTCCGAGTGCTAGGTAAGGAGGGGAAATCAATTGACGAGGCTGTGAAGCTACATCGACTGAGATGGTTAGGACATGTGTTATGTATGCCTAACCATCTATCGCCTTCCTCGACGGGCAATGTTAGCTGACATAGGGTCAAGTTGGAAAAGAGCTAGCGGCGGTCAAACCAAAACATGGCTTCATCCATCAATGAAATCCATAACAGTTAGTTTAAGCCAGCCATGTAGGGAGGTGTAGACCTCCTGGTTGGGGTCCTCGGGACGGTAAAAGCCAATGACGGCTGGAAACAATCGGTGATATGGCTCAAAATCGTTCTCAATGGCAGGCGCAGATGCATCCAATCCTTGTTACTTATAATTTCCAATGAAGCTAAATTGTTCATCGTTATTTCTATTCCTTTTGTCTCATATTCCTGTCTACTGTCTCTATTATGCATTTCTTCTACTTTCATCTCTTACTTTGTATACTACATGGGGTGTAGCGACTTGAACTGCTGCACATCGGTCCTATGTCGAAAGCAGACAGACAGACTTGAGAAGGAAATGTATGTGACGAGGCCTCACGGCATTAAAAGTGATCCAGAACCTTGTTTACAATTTCAAGTTGATATAATTACTTAGTTTTCATCTAAATTTCATCTGATCGTTTTTTAAAATATTAGTTTACAGTCGGTTTTATATAGTCTTTCTGTATTATCATTTATTCAGGGCTTTTTTCGGCGAGCTATACAAGGCAATCAATCATATACTTGTTCTAGAGACGGTACTTGCGAGATCAATAAAACATTACGGAATAAGTGTCAACAATGTCGACTACTTAAGTGTATCGCTGTTGGGATGTCAAAAGATGGTACGTTGTTATTGCTTGTAATATTGATTACACCTGGATTTCAATACATAAGTTTTTTGTGAACATTTTGTACACTTTTTCACCTGTAATTGATAAGCATTATGAAGCAAAAGTGTATTTTTATTTCAGGATACAGACAGCAAACCTGTTTTGTTTAAGATTTTATTTGCATCACAAAGTTTTCCTTAGACCGAAATAATTCCATTGGGCAAGGCTGTGAAATCTTTTAGAATGATATAAGAAATAGTGGGTTTTAAACTGAGGTAACTACTCATTCCAGTTGAATGTAGAAGCTATGACAGCAACATTCCTCTGTTTAGTCTACAAATTTTCGGGATGGGCTTAGAAGCAAATATTGATATGCTCACTCTTTAAAATCACCAATGTGAAGTAGTGCTACTATACGGATCCTCGAGTGGAACCCGAAAGGGAAGCGGCGAGTTGGTCGTCAATGTGAGGGTGACTTGGAGGAGGTATGTGAAGAGGAGATGAAAACGTGTGGGCAGACTTGGAGCCAGGTGAATTAGACCGTGACCACCCGTGCATTATTTAATAATACTGGCAGTATTGTGGTAGCTTTGTGTGAAGTTATTATATTCTCTCTCAACGATCTATTTTAATTCTCTTGAGTCAGTTTAATAATACATGAAGATAAACAAACATTAAAGGTACTCTGATTCTGTTTTACTCTCTTTGCGTTATGCGCACGAATGTTTATGTGAGTATCCGATTTATTCATTTTATTTTTAATAAGCTTTTGTGGTTATCTGTCACTTTAAGAATGATTTTTCTTATCGGCTTATTTGACCATGACATTAAATCATACATATTTGTTTGTTTGCGAGTTTGTGGGCGGGGGGGGGGGGTGGAGGGTTCTAGATAATGATTACACCAAAATCAATCTTCTCACAATATACCTTATAAAATTGACTTTTCTAATCTCTATTCTTTGCTGTTCAAAGGATGACTCATCTATGCGAGATAGACCAGTTTTCTAATACTTTCTACGGTGTTTTGTAATATATATATATATATATATATATATATATATATATTTAATCTATCTTGAGTTGATAGTGTGATTTCAGCGTTGTGTGCAAATCATGAACCTACAATGTTTATCGTTAAACTCTAGTCAATCGCTTTACCAAATCTCTCACAATGTCAACATGACAAATCAGCTACAAATTAGTATTTGAAGTGTGTTTGTAGTATGACATATCGTACATCTATACTTCCTTGTGAGACACTGTCTCATTCTGATTAATAAAACTCTTAAAAAGGGCACTTCACTTTTCTTAACGAAGAATGTAGGCTTCTTAGTAAAGTAAACTTGTTCTCAAATATTTTTTTCTCATGGTGACTCGTAACAGATCCAAGATGTACTTTTGCTTCTATTTGAAACACAAGGTGAATGTATCAGGATCCCAATGTTTTATATTCTTACTAGGTGAGGAGCCATAGTCAAACAAAAATTGGGAAAAGGGAACAAGTGATATTAAAGTGAACAGTCAATTTAGTGCATTAAATAATGCAACAGGAGTTTTCATTTTGAGTTAACACTTGTTGAAGAATTATTAAAAATTAGTAGGGAGTGCACAAGTATTTCCTTTGTGCTTGCTGACGGAGTAGTGTGTGTGTGTGTGTGTGTGTGTGTAAGCTCAATCCTGTACGATGTCAAAACGAAAATATTTCGGCCTAATCAGTCCTCCAGCTGGATTGTCTTGGACAATTCCTGGATATCTAACAAATATGAATTTTATTTCTGTTTTTCATGGTTACTTAGGCATTTCAAGTCAGTCTTGTAAAATATACTAGATGTTCAAGTTTTGGTTTCCAGGGATTTGATTTGATTGGTTACTGGATTTCATCGTGAGCTGACATCGATTAGAGAACCATTGGAAAGCTGTTTCGCTCCCATTTGGGACTCTTCATCAGTACACACCCGCCTGAATTCGAACCCAGCACCTTCCAGTTACAAGGCGAGCTCGTAGATACTCGCTGGTGACATTTGCTAGTGATCGCGCTTTGTCGTGAATTAGCAGAAGTTGGAATTCATGGGTCATTGGATCGTGTCCAGTGGCTTAATGGTCTACGAGCTCGCCTTGTAACCGGAAGGTGCTGAGTTCTAACCCCGGTGGGTCTGTGCTGCTGTCTCAAACCTTGACAAAACAGCTGTCCAGTACTCCCAGGTTTTCGAGTGGCTCTCTAACCGATATCAGCTCATGATAAAATCCCATACTAGATGTTTTATTGAAAAATGAACTATATTTTCGTATCTTTTTTTGTGCTGTGTCTTTGATTCTCGAGTTTCCTCTACCGTCTGACTACCTTCAATGTTCGATTTGTGGCATACTTAGGTAGCTGAAAGGAAACCTTTATACTGTTGCATTACTATAGTTTATAGTTGGTTAATATGTCTGTAAATCTTTCTTCCACATATGTTTCACTGACTTTTTAAGCCTCTTCCACCCTGACAACAAAGAGGTGAATGGATATGCAGTACTTCTAGTGGAGGCTGAATTCTAGCGTAGTTTTTTTTACATATACCTTAATTTGATGATGTATTGTTACAGTTACTATTCCAGCTTAATTTTGGTACTTAATGATTCATTTGATTTATTCTTCTCTTCTTTTTTTTCTACAGCTGTTCGCAAAAGACGTCATGGTAAAAAACGTTTACCATCAAATTCTGTAATCCCAGTTACCACCACCACCACATCTAATTCAGGTTCTTCAAGCAAATCTGTAACTCAAGCATATTCAGCATCAATAAATTCTACAAATGTATTGCCAGCTGCATCTAAAATGCATTTAAACACAATTACACTAAATCCTTATGATGTGCAAATGCGATTTACTAGTTTACAATCTTTACCGCCTAACATACCTTCACAGATAGTGGTGTTTAGTAATAATAATTATTTAACTAAAGAAGATCAATTAACATTGGATAAATTCGATAACTTTTTAAAGTATTGTCAAGATCAAGCTATAAAGTATCAAACAAATAATTGGAATATATCTAAAGCTGATTACTACGGTTTATCTGGATCTCTATCTAGGCATTTATCTCCTATAAAGGTATATTTGTTAATAGCCTTTCCATTTTATTGCATGAAAGTAGTAGTTAACTGCCGATAATGATTACAATCAATGTCTTTAGACTAACTCATGAAAGTACAAAGCTAGTGTTGTCGAGATTGCATGCTAAATCTTAGACTTCTAACCTTCAGTTAACCATTTTTAGTACTTTACTGCTATGTATAGATAACATCTAACCTACATTTAAGACTAACAACTGAGTATCGTCGGTGGCACAGCAGTAGGAATGCTTGCCAACCACACATGTGGTTCGGGGTTCGATCCCCGCCCACGACGCACTCCTTTACCTCGCTCGCTACGCCAGAAATAAGAGCTGGCAAAGTGGGAAGGTTGGACATGAGGCTAGCAACCCCATCCCGTAAAAATAAACACCACTGCTAGCGAAACTTCAGACCTCTAGCTTGAAGCCTTATGTTCCACTGGGAACGTAAAGGAATAAAAAAACAACGAGTAATCATATTTCTGTTTCTATGAATATCTACCAGCATTAACTGGTTTCATTGGTATATTTTCTATTGATCCCCTTATATTCTCCCGAATATGACTTATTACACATCTTATATCCTTTTCGGTGTTGCTCTGTATGCCTTCTTTTTCCACTAAATAACTCTTTAGTTTTATCCTGAACGGAATTTACTCTTTCTCTACCGTGTTCGGCACTTCTTGTGCAGCTAATATTAATCATATGGGTTAACGAATTTAGAGGTGAAATGAAATCATACATAGTAATGATGACATTCAATTCATTAAATATTCCCCCATCACTGGGTAGTTTTATAATTGGTAAATTATTCAGCAAGTGTTAGTGTTTTTTCAAGTCATCCAGAACGTCTCAGTTTCCAAGGTTTACTGTTCTGTTCATGTACACAACAGGCTGTTTTTTAATGAATATTCAAGAGTTAGTTTGAAGGGATTTGATTTGCTAGAGAACTATTGAAAATCAGGGAGTTCTGGATATCTATTTCGTCCTCGCTTGGGACTCATCAATAGTACACACCCACAAACTCATCAGAGATCAAATCCTGGACCTTCAGGTTACAAGGCCAAGTTGCTTAACCAGCCAGACATTTAGAATGAAAGTAGGAGTCAGAGCTAGGTAGTATTTTGTATGTTTGGTTTGCACAATATCCTACCGGATGTAATCTTAAGAAAAACCGAATCATTGACTATGGTGTGGTTTGCCAATATCTAGAGATGATGCTTCATAACTCCTGTATATATATGTAGAAATTTTCGTAGGATAAGGACGGGTGTGAATCGTTGACTCGAAGTTACTGAACTTTACAACTTAAAGAATGTCGAAGCCTACTTGGTTAAATTATCGTTGTCCTGTTATACTTACTTACGCACACGATAAGCTTTCGTGTTTTTATATATTAATTACTCATGTTAATTTTTTTATTGATATACGTTTTATTTACTTCTCTATATTGCTTGTGTATTTTTCTTTTCTGAATGCCGTTTGTTTAGCAAACCTCAAACAAATTAGGTGAGTCAGTTAAATTGCTCACTGTGGATGAGATATTCTGTCCTGCTCAGCTTAAATTCACACACGAATTCGCCTGTCATTTGGAACAGTTTACACGACTTTCACAGCATGATCAAGCTATTCTATTAAGGGATTCCTTGCCTGAACTTGCTGTAAGCGCTTTACTACCTTTATATGTTTTGCGTGCATTTCATATTGAAATTTTTTTGTCATCTCGTGTTATGCATTTAGAGCTCGACGTTCCTTTTTTTACTAAGACGATCATATCAACAGATTTATGATTTTTTGTAATTCCTGACGAAGAATGTTGCTTATTTTGACAGTAATGGAAAATAAGCGTGACAAGCCAATAATTATTATTAGAATACGGAAAAACAAAATGACTTTGACTTTGTTCGTAGACTTCTGTCCTCGCATAGCATATACGTATATGAAATGCAATAGTTACTTCATGCAACACAAACTCCGCTTATTGAATTTGAGGAAAGTAATAACAACACATGGAGCAGAATAAGGCTCCTGAATCTTTTCAACTGCCTACAACCTGGATAATGAAAGTTAAGTCTTATTACAATTCCAACATACTTGAATTCATTAGAGATAAAATGTCGAACAATAATTCAGAATAACTAGGGTGTTTCTCAAATTTATTATTATTGTTTCCTTTAGTTCCTAGAGGAACATAGGACTTCAGCCGCACGTCTCCATTGCGTTCGGTTGTCTGCCAACGTTTTCACCTGGCTCCACGTCTGCCCATATGCTTTCATCTCCTCTTCACATGACCTCTTCCTCGTTTCTCAAATTAAACATCTTTTATAATAAGCGTAAATGTTGATTTCTCTTCATTCTTATATAGTTCCATCATTATTTGTTGAACGTCATCCCTCATATGTCTGATATCTAATTAAGTGAGCTTAAGTCACCAGTTTTTCATCTCCCCCTTGTTTATTAACACTTTTCTGATGACATGTAATCTTGTAATTTATATACATCAATATCTTGTTACTACCCTTGCTCCCCACTTCTTTTGTTTTGTTCAAAAAACGTTGATATATATAGGAATATTTTACATTTTATTTACTAATTCAACATTTCGATTCATCTATATACTATGACCATTATTATTGTTCTACATTTTATCTCCAATGAACTAAAGTATGTTAAAATTGAAAGGAAAGTATTAAATTTCAGTATACAGGTTGTAAGCAGTTGAAAACATGCCGACAGAATGAACAATGGATCCGTTTTGTCCTATTCCATCTGCTGCAGCAGTAGCTATTCTTTTTTTGACTAAATAACTTGGAAGAAAAATAAACCAATCCTAATCACTATAGATGACAGTGAAATGGGAAAAAGTTATTGTAGGAAACTCTTCTTTCCACAGGTAAATACTCTTTTCAGCGTAGAATGTCTCATCCGTGGTAGTGCATAAGTTCACGTTACCAAGACACGGAAGCCAAGGTATATTTTGTAGTGATCAAACAGCTATTTATATCTATACAGTTTATATTCTTTAACCAATCACTGAGCGTGTGATTTAGATTTACAATAAACGATATGAAATAGAATGTCCAAATGTATACAGTATTCTGTTGCTAATGCAGTATTGAACTATGGGAATATTATTCAGACGTTAACACCAACAAATACAATGATTCTTACTGTGAGAATAATATTCCGTTGGAATCCACTGTCTGTGTCACACCACCACAACCTGACTTCCAATGTCTCTATTCAAAGAATAAAACGTTTGGTCTAAACATCGGACGTAGTAATCTACCTCAGCCATTGGAGGCTTGAACAATTCAAACCTTGCCATCAATACTCAGAGTACTGATGTGGCTTGGGTGACTTAATGTACAAACTTCTCATTCTTTATCTATGTACATCTTTAGTGTTTGGATCCAGTTTTTGTTTAGTTATCAAAACTGATAATGCTTATAACTGACAAACCCGTTTATTGTTCACGGATGTGTGAAAGAAGTTCCATAAGCACAAACTTAGGTTTCATAACAACCCTGCTGTATTTCCAAGGGGAACTTAACGTGCTGTATTCATAGGTAGAAATATTCAAAAGATTCTTAATCATAAACACTTTGTATAGTTCCATATTAGATAAGTTTATTTTAATTTAAAACAGTGATACGACTGTGAGAGTAATAAATTGTGCTCGAAATGTCATCCAATTAACTTATCTGAGCGTCGGTAGCACAACGGTTAGGACTCTCGCTAACCATGCACACATGGTCCGGGATTCTATCCCCTGCCGACGCACACCTGATATCAATTGGTCGGCCTGCAAAATTTGGGCTACCGATATCACATGCTGAGAATTCCATACTTGTACCAAAAGTACGGCGTGGAATCAAGCTATAATAAAAAAAATTACATCCTACCACAGTGCTCAAGTTCTACACTTGCATTAATGATACTCTGTAGTGTAAGGCTGGTGTTGATTGCTATCTCAGTCATTTAAAACAGTCTGGTAAGCATTAAATCTTCTTGTCTTATAGCCTATGCTTTAATTAAGCCCAGTTCACTTATGATAACGTCAACTACAAGACTAAACTAGGTTGTTTGAAGTTTTAGCTGAAATATATTGCATTTATATGATATCGTTTAGTGTGGAGGTAGGTTGTTAACTTTCCACGATAGCCGACAAATATTGTGAGAGTGACTTACTGTTATGTGTGTCTGTGAACCTTTGCACTTTTTCTTTTCGAATTCCATGCATATCTTAGAGATTTTTACACTTCATTTTGATAACTTTCTCTTGCCTTGTTATATTTTATTAGATATTAATGTTGTGTCGTGAAAATCGAAGTAATGTGCCTACGGATTCTTCTTCTTCAAGCACAAGGATAAATAACCAGTTAAATTGTTTATTCAGTCCATGGTTTCCGAATGCTGTAGTTACAGATTCATCTTTAGATTGTTTACACATGACTAGTGATAGTATAACAGCTCAGAGTGTTTTCCAGTTTGCTGCAAGACTTCAACGTTTACATCTGACAAATACAGAATTTGGACCACTTATTGGCGTGATACTCTTTACTCCAGGTGAGTTCTCTATGCTTTTTATATTACATTTCATTACATTACATTACATCTCCGACGAAATCTCAGCACGAATACAGAGGGCTAGTTTCGCTTATGCCAGTTTACGCCGTCTCTGGCGTAGACGCGATATCCGACTATCGACCAAAGGGCGGGTGTACTGCTCAGCAGTTCGATCCGTCCTCCTTTACGGCTAGCTGTGAGACCTGACCATTGAGAGTGGAAGACATGAAAAGATCTTTGATCATAGGTGTCTGCGTTCTATCTCCCGCGTGAAGTGGTATAATAAGGTGAGCAATATTGAGGTTAGGCGTCGAGTGCTAGGTAAGGAGGGGAAATCAGTCGACTAGACTGTGAAATTACATCGACTGAGATGCTTATGACATGTGTTACGTATGCCTAGTCATCGCCTTCCTCGACGGGCAGTGTTAGCTGATATAGGGCCAGGCTGGAAAAGAGCTAGCGGTGGTCAAACGAAAACATGGTATCAGTCAATGAAATCTACAACAGTTAGTTTAAGCCAGCCACGTAGGGAGGTGTAGACTGGCTTCCTGGTTGGGGTCCTCGGGACGGTAAAAACCAATGGTTGGAAACGATTGGTGACATGGCTCAAAATCGTTCTCAAAGGCTGGTGCAGATGCATCCACTCCTTGTGACTTATGATTTCCAATGAAACTATATCGTTCTTCGTTATTACTATTCCTTTGTCTCACACCTCTGTTTACTGTCTATATTATGTATTTCGTCTACTTTCTTCTCTTGCTTTGTATGCTATATGGAGTGTGGCGACTTGAACTGCCGGACATATGTGCAAAGTTCTATGTCGAAAACCGACCGAGCGACCGATTACATTTCTATTAAAACTTGTGCTGAAAAGACTTTTGATAACATAGACACCGTATTTTCCAAGCCATAGTCTGGTTCTGGTAATATTCTAGTTCTAAGAGACAAACAGCATAATCCTATAATATTATTTAGAATCTTATGTCATACAGGTAAAATGGCCTGGACTACAAAACATAGATTTAAGTCAGTGTTTGTTGTTATCCTTTGTATTATAAACCTGCTAGTGAAAGTACCAACAAACAGGAATGTTAAACTGAACAAGATTGCCCACTGACTGACTCCTCACAATCTGTATTACACGGGATATGCGTGGCCACATTACACGGCTAAATCGATCATCTATTCGTTTACATTGTTCAGTCCCCCTCCTGAGGACGGTGTCAGTCATGGCCTTCACAAACTGTGTGACGAAATATCTGATTTCAGCAGTGATTGTCGCAATTTTCACTTGTTCTGGGGAATTTAATTATCCTGAAGTTATAGACATTCCTTGTCTATGGATGCCTTAATTCAGGGGTTCTCGCCAATTGGGAAGTTGTTATTGGGTGTAGTGGATAGAACATCGGTTTGTAGTCCTTAATGAGCGAAACCTCAGGAACTAGTTCCATGTTGAATTTATTGATACGTAATGCAATGACTACTTATAAATATGCCTTTAGTAGTATTAGTTATACATTGGTTTTTTATGTATCTGAGTAAATTTGTTTTAAAGCTTAACTGTAAACTACTTATGCATATTTCACTTACACTTCACTCTAATCAAATACACTCTTCTGTTATTTAGAACGTTCCAACTTATTGGACATTGATTTTGTCAATCGTACACAAAACCTGTGGGCTGAACTATTACGTCGTTATTGTGAAAGTCAAGGATCACAGACACGTTGTGCTCATTTAATTATGATTTTATCTACACTTCGTGAACTTGCCGCCAAAATTACGCATAATTTAAACTCATGGTACAAGTTGACTAAATCACCAATATCAAATTGTCTTAAAGAATTTCTGTATTCTTCTGGTTTCAATTCAACCAATGATTGCTTTTAACTGATTGGTAGTCAATTTACTTATTCATTAATTTTTAATGTGTATATATATTTTTTGTGTGTATGAGTGTGATCTTTTGAGAGAGTGGGAGAAGGAGGAAGGGGGCCAAGACGCCGGGGGATTATCACACTCACATATCATCTACCTCATGAATAACTACTGTCTTCCTGCATGTTTTTTATTGTGGTGTGTGTATGCATGTGATTTTAAACAAAATATTAAACAGTTGTTTGTATAATCAGTGCATATTTTAAAATTTATATTTCCCTTCAAATGCAAAACATTCTACTTCAATATACACATATGCTCAATGACTAATTCATTTTATGATTGATTTTTTGACTGTTATGTTTTTTGTGTACTATATTTTTTATGGAAAAGAATGGAGAAGTTCTACTGTGTAATGTGTGTTCGTGTATATGACAACTCGCCAGCTCTCTTTTCCTTATTCTTATCATTATTTTTACTTACTTAGTGACTTCATTCTCCCCCCTCCTATTTTATCATTTTCTACTGCTCAACGATCTCATATTTATTTTCTGTACGGACGTATACGCACAAAAAATGCATTATTATTATTTATTATCTTTATTATGACTATGATTACTGTTACTATGACAATTATGACTACTATTCATATTTACCCAGTGATTTTATGGCTTCCCATGACTACTACTACTATGATTACTACTAGGCGCCTTTTTTTGTTATTTTTGTTTTGTGAATTGACGAGAAAAATAATCGTCAATCTATTTTTCCTTTTTTTTTTCTAATGTCTATTTCTATGTACCAGTGAGTGTGCACACATGCGTGCATGCAAAAATACTCCGCACTTCTATTTTGAAGTGTTTTTGTCAATTTTATATATTTGTGTTATTTTCTTCTATTTTCTTCTATTTCTATGAGTGATATTTTTGTCTATTATGGAAATTTTTATTTTTATTTTTGTGTAATTAAAGCATTTTAAATAATACAAACGACAATTTCATACATTTGGTTCCCTTGATAAATTTCGATAAAGAAAGGAGGACGAAATTTGCAGTATAAAATGATATCATTCTATTTCAGAGGTTCTCATCAGCTGCAGACTACCTGAAATTACAGTGGTTATATAGATGATAATAACATACTTTGATGTTTCAGTGGTAGTGGTCTTCAACAAGGGGATACCTTAATTAGACTAGTTAGGTGTGAATGGAGATTCGTTGTTTGCATGTGGAAACTGTGAACGTAGACAAATGAAATGTTTGCGGTAAATTAGCGCATATTTTTTTATCAATTTTACTCTGTACTGGTCTGTGAGTCAAGTTTAGGAATTGCGTTAACGTGACGTATTTGTGGTCACATCGATAAATGTTGGTGTGTAAGAGAGAGTATTTGAATAGTTAAGAACGTTAAGAAAGGTAGAGTGAATGAAAACACTAGACTTTATTAGGCTACTTCAAAATCTTATAATGCCGAAAAAATCTTAACAACTAAATTATAATTAATTGACATCACTTAGTGAGGCATTGATAACCAAGAAGTGCTGAAAAGCTGTGTCATAATAGTTTGAGACCCTGGCTGTATGCACCTACGGAGCTTCAGGTTACAAGGTGTAGACCCTTAGCTTCATCCTCTGTGGGGTCATGGGTGCATACTGATGAAGAGTCCCAAACTAGGACGAAAAAACTAGTTTTGAATGGTTTTCTAACTGAAATCAATCCGTGATCAAACTTAAAACCAGTCAATTCTCTACAAACTAAGACTTGTAAATTATCATTCTTCGTCACTGTATCAATCAAAGACCCCACTTCTTCATTTCATTGAATATAAACACGATTGTTCATCCTTCGAAGATAGTTTCATCAATTAAGGAGACCTTATCCTCTGAACTGTGTGTTTTTGTTTCTGTGATAATATTTGTTTATTAAAACTAGTAGTGAGGTTTGTACTGTATAACATGAATTCATTTTGAAACGCCTACAGATGGGATCAACGATAATTAATAGTCATTCAGCTTTCTTTCAAATAAAATGCAGAGCTGGTAAATCTTAAGAAGTCTGATCGACGTTTTTTTCCCTTCACGTTCCCCAGTGGAACATAGGGCTTCAAGCTAGTGGTTTGAAGTTTCTGCAGCAGTGATTATTTTACAGGATGGGGTTGCTAGCCTCATGCCCAACCTTTCCTCTTCACCAGCATTGTTTCTGGCTTAGCGAGGTAAAGGAGTGCGTCGGTGGCCGGGGATCGAACCCAGGACCATGTGCATGGTCGGCAAGCGTCCTAACCGCTATACCACTGACGTAAAGTACACTTATCATAAGAAATAATGAGTTTATGAAATTTATCTCTATTTAATGACTTCCACTCTAAACATATTCTTTCATGTAAAAGTGTTGCTTAACTCATTTACAAATAACACAAAAAGAAATTGATTATTTACCTTAAGTTTGGAGGGATATTTGAGAAGTTATGTTAGCTGATTTAACAACCAGAAACCCAGCAACATACAGGGAAAAAGATACTCGAGTAAGCATTTGGGAGTGATTAGAAATCAGTCATGTGAGTTAAGATCAGTGCGTCATTATTATTATTGTTTCCTTTAATTCCTAGAGGAACATAAGGCTCCAGCTGTGCATCTCCATTGCGTTCGGTTCTCTGCTAGAGTCTTCACCTGGCTCCAAGTCTGCCCACACGTTTTCATCTCCTCTTCACATGACCTCCTCCAAGTCACCCTTGGACGACCAACTCGCCGCTTCCCTTTCGGGTTCCACTCAAGGGCTTGTCTAGTGATGTCATAAAAAACAATAATAATTAGAAGAGTGGTAAAAGAAATCAAAACTCTAGTTTTCCCAACTAAATGGCTAAAGCTTCAGCAATACAAAGGAGACGAAAGCGTATTGCCTTTTGTAGGTTATTCTTGACTCTGTAGATTACTTTTAAGGAGGCGTTTGTTGAGATGGAGTGGTTAGTGTTGACAAGGTGTTCAATGATCTCACTCCTTATAGAACCACTACTACCTTTTTTCAGCCATGCGGGATAGTGTTCTCGAGTCCTTTTGGACAGGATATGCATCGGACGACCAAGTTACTTGGCTCCGCAACAACAGGTGAACTGAAATATGCACAAAGTAGTGGTCAGATGCGACATTTTGTCCTTAAGGCTTCTGCATACCAATGGACAACTGGAGAACACTACTCTTGTTCTCAAAAATGCTGAAATTCTCTTAAGGATAAGAAATCAAAAGAGAAAATACATAATGATATAAATGAGAAAATTGTTGCCAGGTTAAACTGAGATGATTCACTGCTTCTTTCTGTATATAAAAGTTAGATTTAAATAGCTTGATGGCAAATCCAAGTAGAGTTAAATTTCTTTGTTTGCTAATAATGATAAAAACAGTGTGAATGTCTACTCTGTGTCCTGACTGACTTAGAAATCTGGCAGTATCGCTAGAAAAGAACTGAAGATCTCTGTGTCTCAGGCTTTCTGAGATGTTTAACTAAGCAAGTTGAGTGACGTAATCTAATTGACGGGGTTGAGTAGAGCTCAGTTAAAAATTAAAATTGAACAAAAGTCAAGTTAACAAGAGTGGTAATAAGGGGTGGGGGGAATATTATACATTTAAGAAAGAAAAAGACGAAACAAAATTACGTAAGATAGGTCAAGTCCACTGTAGATAACACTATAGAGTGGACTTGACCTATCTTACGTAATTTTGTTTCGTCTTTTTCTTTCTTAAATGTATAATATTTTCCCCCTACCCCTTATTACCACTCTTGTTAACTTGACTTTTGTTCACTTTTAATTTTAGCTGAGCTCTACTCAACCCTGTCAGTTAGATTACGTCACTCAACTTGCTTATTTAATCTTACTTTAGTTTCTAACCCATGAACGAAATTTGTTATCTAAAACTTACAATTCAAATAATTTTACTTTAGTTTCTACCCGATTAACGCTTTCTACATTACGTAATTTCTGAGATGTGTTCGGTTGCCCACCTTTCTACCCTTTCAATGCTCTGGCATGCACATATGAATTTGTAAACGCAATTGGAGGTGACTTGAGACGGGTACCTATCCACTTTCGATTAGTAAAGTGCACGACTAGTGCTATAAACAGGAATAAGTTTAATATTTTCCGGATCAGGTATCCTTGCAATATAATCCTTTCCGGATTGTATCATCATCTCGTCTTCTCACAGATAAGTCCCGGAAGTGAAATTGGTCTTGGCGTTCACATTCCATGTATATTATTGAAGCTATAGAACAATTTACAAGCGTCGTCCACATCCTTGCAAGTCACCAACGTGTCATTCACATAGCCGTTATAAAAACTAATTTCTTCAGTTGTAGATTTCATTTAGTCTGTTTCTAGATTTCCGATGAATCTATCAAGAAGAATGCGTTCAAAAGTACTTTTCATGGGCACTCCATCAATCTGTCTATAGAATTTCGTTACTTAAGCGAAACTGTACATCTTTTGTGTATAACATTAACAGTTCCCTGATGTCTTCACTTGGTGAAGGAAGCAATTCAGAATGCTTGCAAATAATCTCAATTCTCTTACCTTTACAATTGGTGCGTTGGTGGTTCAGTGGTAGATTGCTCGTCATCACGTATGTGGTCCGGGTTCAATTCCCAGCTGATGCACTCCTCAAGCTTGCTTAGCAGGTAGTAAGCCCGGTAAGTAGGAAAGGTTGGGCGACCCCACTCTGTGAAAAGCAACACCACTACTACTGAAGTTCTATGTTTCACCGGGAACACAAGGAATAAAAAAATTGCATGACTCTTATCTCCTGCATAATAATCCATGGCTCTGATGAAGACTTTTTATACCTCTCACTCTCAAGTTCTTTGAAATATATTCAGATACACGGTACCACATGTTTCTTTCTGTTCGTCGTATATATGTGCATTTACATGTAAACTGAACATGTCAATCTGAATAACTGATTCAGTAAATAACGGCGAACTTGCCAGATAAAGTACTATATAGTATGCAGACATTTTCAAAATAATTTTACTTTATAATGAAGTATAACTGGAATTTATTGAATTTTAACGAACTTCACAAATAAATAGTAATTCCATGTCGTTAAACTGATACATCAAATAATTTTCACATAGTTGTTATATTTTGAGAAATCACATTGGTTACTGATTTTGTTGTTAGTAATATGATGACATAAAGTTAACTTTCTAGATGAACATAATTGATGATCGAAATTTATCGCATTAATTGTGTACTATAACTATTTATTAGTTAACTAATTATCTCATATATGAAGATACAAGGAAAAGAAATCTTCTGCGAGTTTAAACTAAGTTTATTAATTTAAAAAAGACCGGTAGATTTTAACTTGATTAGAAACCTAGTAATTTTGTCATTCAATACTCTGGTATTATCATCACAGTTAATCAAAGGGTAGATACGAGGCCCCATATTAATAAGTTGTATTGGTATTGAACAGTAAGCTAGTACTCAGAACGCCTCCAAGAATATTTACTACATTTCATAATACCTTACAAGTTCATCGGGATTTATTTGACAAAACAGATTTGTTTGTTAGAAAAATCATTTTTTTACGAGTTTGACCACGGATTGATATCATTCAGAGAACCATTGGAAACCAGGGAGTACTGGACAGCTGTTTCATCCTAGTGTCGAAACCATTGGCAGTACGCACCCACCACATGGTTCGAACCCAGGACCTTCTGGTTACAAGACAAGCTCGTATACCATTCAGACACTGTGACCGGATTCAATGGCCAGTCCATGAATTCTAACTTCCTCCAATTCGTGATTTAGCGCGACCACCAACCAATGTCATCAGTGGGAAATCCATCCTCACACTTGACTTGTTGGACCTCAGTGGTCACGACTTCTCACTAGAACTCCAGGAAACTCCATCCTGTAGCAAATCACTAGCGAGCATCAGATTAATTTTCAAGAGTTGATTTTTAAGGATTAGATTTGT